CTAGATGTTTATAAACTTGCATTAGATAAACATTCTATCTAACTTGTTTTCTTTTCTTTTTCTCAAGGAAATCTATAAATTTTTTAAAACGTTTGACTTCATCAATGATAAATAACTCGTGGCACAGTAATAAACACATTTCATTTTTTGTTGTAAAGATAAACAAATTTTGCTATTTTCATAATAGACTAAATAAAGAAACCAACAGACGATGCTATTTATAATTATAAAAACTTATTCATTTAACGATTGCTATCCACTTCATTAAAAATGTTTTAAATATGGAGAGTGGATGTTTAACAGAATTTCTGCCTTTGCTAAACAAATTCTGTTTTTGTTACAGGTTCTTGCTTGATGACTTTTAGTCACAACATAAGACCTCTTTGTTAATAAAAAGGTTGCAGGTAAATAGTGTTAAAGTATAATAAATTATCAGGGGTATGTATAGAGTTGTTTCAAAATATAAAAAATTGACTTTTGCTACAGTTGCTACAGTCGATTTGCCATTTTATTTATTTTTTAGTCCAATTTAAGTTGATACCCTGTGAAATGTTTGACTTTTTCAAAAATTTATGGGCTTGTAAGAAAAGATCCGTTGAAAACATGGGTTTTTCATCGAAGCATTTTATTTTTCTGAATGAAATATTTCCGTAATATAGTCAACTTAGCTCAGCTATAAATTTGAATAAATTTTTAAAGTGCTACATTTTGACTACTTGTAACCTCCATATCTTATTTAAATTACTTTTCTCTTTTGCACGAAAAAAGAAAAGTATGTAGCAAATAAAAAAAAATCAACTGACTGTAGCAATTGCTTCACTTGCTACAGCCTGGATCCCTCCTGTAAATATATATATATATATATATATATATATATATATATATATATATATATATATATATATATATATATATATATATATATATATATATATATATATATATATATATATATGTATATATATATATATATATATATATATATATATATATATATATATATATATATAAATATATATATATATATATATATATATATATATATATATATATATATATATATATTTTAAATTTTTTTCGCTTTTAACAAGGCTGCAAGCAACCACTAATTAGAGTTGGAAGTTACTGGAAAGAAAAGATAAAGGTTAGAGAGCAAGATAATGATTGACAGACGACTTGAAAGCTTGCAAATTATATGAATCAGGAAAGCAAAATAAAGGAAGCGAATTCCAAAGAACTGATGTTCGAGGAAAAAAACTAGACGAATAAGAGTTTTTAGAGCACTTAAAAACAGTAACAGAAAAAGGATGAGACTTAATTGAATGACGAGTAACACAAGAATGAATTTTAGTAGATGGCACAAGAGACGCTAGCTCTTTAGAGCAGTGCCCATATGTAGAAAAGAGAAAGAGAAGCAACATTACGACAATGTGACAGAGGTTGAAGGTTGGCTGCAAGAGCAGGTCCAACTATGTTTACAATGCGTTTTTGCACCTTGTCTAAAAGATAAAGGGCATCATTAGAAGGTCTGCCCCAGATATGGCAACAGTATTCCATACAAGGCTGGATTTGAGATTTCAAGAGATAGAGAATAGAATCCAGAGTAAGAAAGTGACGAGCTCGATAAAGAGAAGCGACTTTATCAGATGCTAATATTGCAACGGATTTGATATAAGGTTTCCAAGAAAGATCAGAAGTTAATCATAGAGTTAATCCTAGAAGATGAAGGGTAGTAGATTCATCGAGTACATTACCGTTCATAAATATAGGAAGGTCTAAATTATTGCGATAACGATTAGCTTAAAAAAGTTGAGTTTTATCTGAATTAAAGTTCACCAGCCAAAGTAAGCCCCATGCTGTAGCAGAAGTGAGATCCTTTTCAAGCTCAGATGCCCCCTGCAAGCAATCAGTGAGAGTTGGCTTCTTATCGTGACAAGAATAAATGGTAGTATCATCAGCGAACAATGCCACCTTAGATGTAAGATTATCTGGAAGATCGTTAATGTATATTAAAAAGAGTATAGGGCTAAGGATTAAGCCTTGAGGAACCCCTGAGGTTACAGAATAAGAAAAAAAGTGTTGTCCATCAAAGAAAACTTTTATACTATGATTGGAAAGGAAGGATTCAATAATCTTAAATATGTTTCCAGATACACCGTAAGAAGAAAGCTTATTGAGGAGACCAGCAAGAAAGCTTATTGAGGAGACCAGCATGCCAAACTTTATCAAACGCTTCAGAAATGTCAAGAGTGATGGCCTTAACCTCTCCACCTTTATCTAATGCGCAATAAAACCTATCGGTTAATACTGTTAGCAAATCAGCCGTAGAACAAGAAGATGGAAATCCATATTGATGATCAGAAAGTAGGTTATGAGATTTGAGATAAGAGATTAAGTGTTTGTTAATTAAAGATTCAAAAACCTTGCTTATGATAGGAAGAAGACTAATGGCACGGTAGTTAGACAAATCGGATCACTCTCCAAAATTTTTAAAAATAAGAATAACAGATGCTGCTTTCCAGCAGGCTAGAAAACAAGATTTTGATAAGCACTTGTTAAATAGTTTTGAAAGGATAGATGACAGCTCCGGAGAACACTTCTGCAAGACTATAACAGGTATGTTGTATGGGCCGCAAGCTGTAGAAGAGTCTAAGCAGGAAATCACTTTAGATACAGAAGCTGAAGTGATATGTATGTCAAGCAGTGGATCAACCTGTTTGACAGCTATATCAGGTAGAATGCAACTAGTGGAATCAAGAGATATCGATGAAAAGTTCTTGACAAACAATTCAGCTTTGTCTTTAGGTGAGGTGACAAAGTCTGAACCGTACAAAAGAGGTGGAATTACAGACTTATTCTTATTATTGATACTATTAAAGATTCTCCAGAAGTCATGAGAGCTTAATTTTTGTGATGAAATACGAGATTTCATGGTCTGAAAATAGCGAACTTTGGTGTAGACAAAACCTTTTTACAATGGTTCCTAGCAGTAGTAAACAGACTTCTGTTTTCTGGAGAATTGTTTTGCTGATAGATATGGAAGTAATGGTTTCAATTGGCAATTGCAGCAGCACATCGTGAGGAAAACCATGTAGAAGAGTGAGGCTTGACCTGGAATTGTCAAGAGGGAATAAAGGATACCATGCCAGCCTGAATCCATGAAGTTATGTAAGAAGCACATTTGTCCACAGGAAGACAAAAGATTTCTACCCAGGGGCCATTACGAAGAAAATCACGGAAAGAGTCCCCGTCAGCTTTAAGTTGTAAGATGTACAATGATAGGGGGATTCTGATGGTAAAGAAGAATGAGATAATAGTTTTATAGAGACCAAACCATGATCAGAAGCACCTAAGGGTGAGTGTGGAGAAACTGAGCACTGACTAGGATTAGAAACAAGACATAAGTCGAGTAGAGAAGGTAAATGATTCGGGTTGTCTGGAAAGCGAGTTGGAAAGTTGACTATTTGAGTTAGGGATTGAGAAAGGCAAAACTTGTGGGCCTTAATGCCTGCAGAGTCACTGACAACAACATTAAAGTGAACGTTATAGTCACTGACAACAACAATATTGGCTGATGGATAAAGAATGAGGGCTTGGTCATTATAATCAAAAATAACATCAAGAAGAGTGCAGTCTTGAGATGAAGGAAAGCGATATAGAACAAAGAGAAAGGTGATAGAGTGAAGTGGTGCTAAACGAAAGCACAAAAAAGAGTAGTCTGTATATTGGTGAATGATGTTTTAGCCAACTTGGTGATGACTGTGGTTTTTTGTGTTTTATAGTTTTTTCCACTAATAAACCCTAAGCCGTAACAAAGGGCTCCAATGTGGCCTTGGCAATGCACACCAAATGTACAAACAGGGACACCATCCATGCAAAACATGGCACTGTTAGTACTCTGATATTTTTCGGCTGTTGATGGAATCAGCCTCTCTGAGAGTTACCACAGAGTTCGGGAAACCTGACTCAAACCAGCCGGCCTCAGAACCATAAAACTGAGTTTTAGAGCTGTACCCTCATTTGGAGATGATAGAATGAGTTGCCTAGTCATAAAAACAGAGACACAAGCAAAACCCATGCATCGAGTCAAGAAGATTCAGCGTTTATTATCCTAAACTGGAAACTATGTATTAAAAATACATCTGCGCCAGCCTAATAGATTGAGAAGGGGTGCGAGGCTGTCAACAGATTGAATCTGTTTACCCCTTAAGTCTTTGCCTAGGAAGCCTTCCACAAGACAGCAGCCTGATGCATTTAATATCTTTCCAAGATGAGTATTTTTATTGAGACACCATCTCTAGCCTTTACTCAACCAAGAGCCCCATGAGTTTGCATCTTCTAGCCTTTGCCTAAAAAGTCATGTTCTACAAGGCAGCAGGACATAAAGCATATTGTACTGGGTTACATGTTACCAGTAGCAGGATAAACCTGACCTGACTGAATATATACATATACATATATATATATATATATATATATATATATATATATATATATATATATACATATATATATATATATATATATATATATATATATATATATATATATATATAAATATATATATATATATATATATATTTATATATATATATACATATATATATATATATATATATATATATATATATATATATATATATTTATATATATATATATATACATATATATAATATATATATATATATATATACATATACATATACATATATATATATATATATATATATATATATATATATATATAAATATATATATATATATATATATATATATATTTTTTATAACGGTTTTAATTTTTTACTTGAATAATATGGCTGATGATTATTATGTGTTTGTATATATATATATATATATATATATATATATATATATATTATATATATATATATATATATATATATATATATATAATATATATATATATATATATATATATATATATATATATATATATGTAGTAAAAACAAATTGTTTTATTGAACTTTTGATTTTTAAAGGCTTCTTCTTTAAATAATATTCCTCCTGAAATAAAACTTAAAACAGAAGTTTTTGGTATTGATTTTCATCCGATTTCAAATGTTGTTGCTGCTGGAGAAATAAATGGACGAGTTACATTGTAGGTTTTGTTTTTAAAGTTATGTTTATTAGTTTTTAATTTTTTCAAATTATTTAATCTAAAACTATATGTATAGATAAAAAAGTTGTATTTATTTAAAAAAAGGTTTGTAAAGTAAATGACTGGTATTGAAATTTAAATGGGGCTTGGGGTGGGTTTGATAAAAAACAGTTGGTGCTAGGTTTGTAACCCGGGCTGCGAAGATAATAATGCATCCTAAAGTTTTTTTTTTTTCAATTATATATATATATATATATATATATATATATATATATATATATATATATATATATATATATGTATATATATATATATATATATTCATATAAACATCATTATGATTAAAATAATCATCATTATCATTATCATAGGGGCAAGCCTATTTTAGTACCGCTGGAGCGGTATGGGCGCTAAAAGCATTTATTAAGCGTCTTAAATAAAATAGTTTTCTTATCATAACTAAAGTAACATGTTTTTATGCTTATTTTCTAATATAAACAATCTCAAGCATCTTCTTTTCTTAACTTTATAAGTAGTAGTAGTGGTAGAGTGCTTGCAAGTGCATAGGCAAGAGGTTCCAAGTTCAATATACACCATGTCCCTGGTAGTACTGTGCTCAACTTGTTTCTTATGCAGAGAAACAAGTTAAGCGCATTTTTTTTTTTTTCAAATAAATGTTTAAAAACATTCTTTAAAAATATATAAAAATAAAGCTTGTTCATACCATAGGTTATGCATTCTCTAAAAGTTTTCTTACTTCTACATCTGACGTTTTCTTCTTTTCTGCTACCTCTCTACATGCTGATATCCATATCACTTTAATCTTCTCTTCTTCAAATCTCTATCTGTTTTTGGTTTATAAGCAGGAGATCCAGGATCGAAACAAACTCTGGACATATTTTCATGTCACAATAAGGAAGGAGGCATGAAGTTCCTAGTTAAATGCACTTCTGCGGTGTTTTGTTAGAAGACTGTTAGGTCTTCTTGGGGCACCTAAATAACAAAATAAAATAATTTTTAAAATTTTAATTAAGTTTCTTTAGAATATTTAATAGTATCTTATATAAAGGGCTACATGCCTATGAAGTTGCTGTACTGTGGGTCACAGGCTGTTGTAGGTATGAAGTACCTATATAGCAGGTATTGTAGTAGCATGCTGTATAATAACTATGTGTTGGGTGAGTAGCTCGGAGGCTATGTAGCAGCTATTTAATCAACATTACTGATTTTTTTTTTTGGATTATCCAGCTGGTAGTATGAAAATGTTTAAATTGAATTTTTAATTTATATTTCTTAAATGAAACCACCAGTATTAATGTTTAATATATTACAGCCACATGGACTGGTGTAATTATCAAACATTTGTAATTCCCAAACATTTGAAATTCCCAAAAATGTCTTAAATGCAATTTATAGTTTGTTTACAACAACATGTTTGCAACAACATTTGGAAGGAAAGTAATTTTTTTTTGGCGGCAACTTTAGGCAAATACTGCCTGTTACAAAAAAAAATGCTGAAGTTATAGAAGCATTTATAAAATGTTCATTACAATAGTTTCAAAATTCTGCATTAACTGAAAAATGAGAGTACATGATGAGTACGGAGAGTTTTAACAATGGTTATTAAAACATGGTAGTGGAACAATACCTGTCAAAAAGGAAGATCCTTTTAAAGGGTATATTGAAACAGTGTATCAGTGCATTATTATAGAAAATGGCTTAATTGTTGGTGAGATATTTGAAGATGATGAATGAGATAATTATGCTAAATGAGTTATTTTAACACTCACTAATGTGGATTCACTGTCAATCAATGAGCTTAAATCTTACCTGGAGGTCAATATTTTTTAAAGTGCTGATTAAATTGAGATGGATAACTCTAATAAAAGAAATAACTTTTCTTTTCAGTTTTTGAACAACTTTATTTTTACAGGTATGCCACTTTATTGTTTAAAATTTAAAATTGCTTGTGTAATTATGTTATATAGAAATTTATTAAAACTTGGCTATGCAATGATACTCTAAATGAAGCTTGTGCTCTTCAAAATAACTTTATTAATGCTGAGGTTTTAACAGTTATTTCTGGTGATAAACAGGTATTTTTTTAAAGAAATCAGTTGGCTCTATCAGATTCTAGTTTTGTTTTGAAAAGTTGTCAGGTTAAATATTTGATGGAGTTAGTGTATATACAAAAAAAAATTTGTATTTTTCTCATTGTCAACTTTATGGTACATGTTTAAGAATTAGAGTTTTTGAAGGTTCCTTTTTCAAATTGATAAACATATCATTCAAAGATTGATAGGCAAAAAATGTTGCACAAATAATGTTATTTTTTCCAATGTTATTAAATTATGAATTATTGGATTTTTTATTTTGAAAGTTATAGTTCGCAAGCACAAGTTGTGGTTTTATGATTTATATATTTAGTTATTAATTTATACTTTTTATTTAATTGAACATTATTCTATTGCATTATTTCACCAAATTAGTATGAAACTCATAAACTGCTCGATTTTCATAAGAAGTAATAATGTTTCAAAAATTAAATATAAAATTCCAAAAGTTGAATTTACAAAATGACATAACTTTTGAATAATTTAATAAATGATATAAAAACTATGTTTTATTTTCAAATATACTTAATTTATTAATAAGTATTGTTTCCAGTAACAAAAATAACTTTATAAAAAAAAAATTATAAAGTTATTTTTGTTACTGGAAACCAAATTTCTGTTCCTTTGCCTGCTGTTATAACTGATTTTGAAAAGGGTTATAATCCATAAACAATTGTGTAGAATTAGAGTTATGCAGTGAAACTAGCGAATCAAGTGTTGTGACTTGCAGTGCGTGTAGAATCTTGCTTTTAAACTAGTCAAGCAAGTGATTTGCAATGACACTTGTAGAGCTAAACTGTTATGCTAGCTGGCTATTTTTTATAACTAAAATTCTATTAAAAAAAAAAAGTTAAATAGGGTAGATCAAGATTAACAACCTTGCCAGCCAAGCGGTTTATTAAGTAGAGATGTGACAGCATTTAGTCCCAAGAGGTTTTACTGTTGTATATCTTGTTCTGTTGTCTAGCCTCTCATAATTATTTAGAAAACACATATTTCTGGTAATATTTAGTGTAATATAATGTGAACTTACAAATATCTTATGCTCAGTGCTATTTTTTTTATGTAATTGTAGTGTTGTTATTCTAATATTTTCTGTTGATAGACAGCTAATTTTACCTTTCCGTTGGTGTCTATTAAAATGATTATAGTTTAATTACTCTAAAAATCGTCTTTTTAGTAAAGATCGATTCCATTGCAAAAGTGATATTATAATAAAGTAATTTTTGTCAATCATGTTATTATTTTAGTGCATCATTGTTTCTATGCATAAAATTTTATAAGCATTCTAAGTTATTATAATGTGGTTTGGGGCTGTCCATTAATTACGTCAACAAATTTTTTGAAACTTTTACCTCCTCCCCCCCCCCCCTCCCCCTTGTCAATAATTTGTCAAATTTCCAGAGACCCTCCCTATAAAATTACGTCAACTTTTGATTCCACCCCCCCCCCCCCCCTCCCTCCTATACAAAGAAACTACGCTACAAACTCAGCCTAATTTTCCATTATTTAAGCCATAAAACTCAAAAAAAAAAAAAAAATTGTTGACATCAACTTTAATTGACCTCCCCCTCCCCCGTGTCAACAATTGTCAAAAACGTTCAGACCCCCACCTTCATCTATTTTGTCGGTGTAATTAATGGACAACCCCTTTTCTTTATAATAAGCTTTGCTCGGTTCCCCTGTCTTGTAAATGCCGGCTGTTATAACTTATTTTGAAAAGCACCTTCATAGCAGAAATGATGTCTTCAACATTATCTGTTTGTTAAGATTGACAAATTTTGATAATGTTGTGTTCTTTTAACTTATTACAAAAGTACATATTTTATTTTGCTACTTATTTAACTTTATATTATTTATATATTTTAAATAAATTTGTTTTAAAGATATTTAAATTTAAGACTTACTGTTTTTATGGGTTCTTTAAAAAGTTTTCCGTATTCACAAGTTTAAATATATACTTTTTAAGATACATTTTTTTTTAACCTTTTCAGTCATTAGATATACAAAAATTGAAGAAAGTTATAAACTAAATAGCTCAATACAAAATTAAATTAAATGCAAGACAAAATACGTTACGAAATTTTGCCACCATATCAAATAAAATAACGATGGCTTTTGTAAAAAAACAAAACAAAGTTTCAAAGGTTAAAGTTAGAAAAAAAAAAAAAATAGACAATTAAACTGAAGCTTTAATATTATAGGAGCCAAAATATTTAAATAAGCCAACTTTTTATATATCCACTTTTTTATGGTATGTGCATATTTATATTATGTATGCACAAATGCACCTCATACCTAACCTCCTGGATCCAAGCATTGTCGGTTTGAATCAAGCCTCATTCTACTCCAGATTTTTCACCTACTTGTGCAGATGCAATATTAAACCATAATCATTTTTTTTTTATCTTTATTACAAGAATACTTTTGAGTCATAAGTGAGTTATAAAAGTAATAAGATTATTATAGTTTTATTACTTTTATAATGCAGTGACCAAAATGGTATTACTTTTGTAGTCATAAGTTTATTGTTTTGTTTTTTACAGTTTAAAATTCAAGTTAATTTGCATCCTAAAAAACAAAGTGCACGGTTTTGTGTAAACTAAAATTTTGAAGACCAGATATTTTTCCAGATATCACAAATTACGATCCCTTAAATAACCCTTGAGTGTCATTAACTAAAGTAAGTCTAACTCTAAATCCATCTTTAAATCATGGGTCTGACTTTATTACTTCTCCCCAAAATAAAGTATAGTTATTTGCAAAGAACTTTTACTCTAATTTGACTACTAAATCTAATAGCCATATTCTTTCTGCTATTCCAGTTTAACAGGTTAACCCAATGTTAGGCATCCAAATCACTTTGGCTTTTGATGCTAATGTCAA